TCAGGCAGCCTCCCTGGCACAGGTCCTCCCTGGGGGAGGGAAATCATGGATCCTGCTTATTGAATTATCCAGCTAAACATAATAAAGTCTCCCCTTTTGCTTTAAAAACACTCAAAGTGGTTTCTGTCTCCTGTAACCAAAGAGTTTTGACTAATGTATCCCCCATGCCCTCCTAAAGAACTTGTGGCTCTATTAAAAATGCTTGATATAGTTTTTTTCATATTGCAATCCAGATGTCAGGAATGATGATTTAGTCCCAGACATTAGAACTCATGAAATATCTACTCACAGGATCTGTCTCAGAGCCTGTGCAGGTTACAGGAGAAAGAGATATTGTTTATTATCCATCTCCTATGATCAGTCAGACTCATACCATGTCTAATTCTTCCTGAATGCTTGCTACCTACCAAGTAAATAGAATGTTGAGTACTTTACAAGGTTTTGCCTATATATAATGACAGCACAAAAGGTGGGGATTAGTATTATTATTTGCTATTCAAATGAGGAAGGATAAATAATTGACATGTATGTATTAACAGTGCCTGGTACAGAGAAGGTCCTGTGTAATTTGTTTTAATCTTAGTTATTATTATTTTTAAGTGGTCTGAATTAACACAGCAAAGTGTCAGAGATGTAATTCAAATCAAGGTAGTTGACTATAAAGCCTATTTTTAAAAAATCTTATTGCTGACTGTGTATTTATATTATATTAACAAATCCTCAAAACAAGTCTGAATAATTTGGTAGTATTATTCCCAGAAACCAGGTGGTAAACTGCTGCCCCAAGTCACATTGTTAGTAAGTGCTTGGTGATACAAGGATTCCTCCTTGGATGTTCCTGACCCCAAAGCCAGCACTCTTTTCACTTTTCAGAGGAAATCCTGTGTTAACCTGCCACCAAGGGATGCAGTTGCAAAGGAGAAGAGAGGAACATTGTCGACTTCCTCTTTGTTGTTAGATGGTGCTAACAGGTGGACTCCACTAAAGAAGCAGAATTTTTACCTCCCTTTTCACATCGCCAACCATCAATGAGTCTCTGGATCAATTCTGCCTTCTTGCATGAATATCATTTATCTTTGTCATTTTCTCTGGAGTAATTATTATGATTTGTCTTCTTTAAAAAAAAAGCTATTAATGTCAGTCTACAGCAAAAAAAAATAATTAAATAGAAACATTTCAAAAAATGTCACAACTGATTATCGTTCTAATTGTGCTTGTTCTCAAGTTTAGTACGACACTGCGCATTACTGGATAGAAACAAACCATAAATTATTGTATTTATGCCATGCATTGCAGCACAGAATTGCATGCCAAATTCTTATGACAGGCATAAAAGAATTATTCAGAAATACTGCGCTGTTTGTTGCCAAATTTAGTGATAATTTATAGCTGTCTGAATTTCCACACCTGCTGTGAATTCCCTCAGCTCTTTAAGTTTTACTGATTCCCCCATTGTGGAATTTGAACAGCATCACTTACCTGTGGGGTAACTGTGACTCTTTCACTGCATCCTTCATTGCAATAATCTAGAAATCCAGCCCTTGCCAAGACTTGACTACGGCCATATGAAAATATATCCTATCATCCCACGTCCTGGAAGATGGCTGAGATATCTGGTATGGTAGCCAGCTTCCTCCATCTATTATGGTAAAGTGCAGTTTAAAGAAGACTAATGTGCAATGAGAAAATGGGGATCCCATCTGTGCTGGGGTTGACTTATAATCAACATTCTTATAGCCAGATTTAGTTAAAAAAGGTAATAAAGCCATTCTTCCATGAGCTCAGTGATTTGGATCTTTGTTTCTTCATTTATAATGTGGCCACAATTATGATGATAATAATTCATTTTTTTCCTAGAATTTACTGAATATCTATTTTGTTGCAAACTTTTGTTTTCCTAGTACATCTAATACCCTCATTACAATTCTGCAGAGCTGGTAGCATTGATTATGCTTTGTTTTGTTTTGTTTTTCTGCTTTTTCTCCCCAAATCCCCTCAGCACATAGCTGCATATTCTAGTTGTGAGTCCTTCTAGTGTGGCATGTGGGAAGCTGCCTCAGTGTGGCCTGATGAGCAGTGCCACGTCCGCGTGGAGGATCCGAACCAGCGAAACCCTGGGCCCCCAAAGCAGAGCGCAAACTAACCATCCTGTCCCAGGGCTGGCCCCTGATTATGTTTTAAGGAGGGGAAAATTTAGGCTCATTAAGAGCATGAAATATCCCAAGTTCCCATGGCTACTGAGAAAATGCTAACATTAATTGAGTGCCCACAATGTGTCAGGCCTGCTCTAAGTATCCATTGTTTTAGGGATCCTCTTCTAAACCTGCAAGGTGATTACTGTCAGTCCCCTATGGAAGGAGAATTCTGAGCACGGGGAAGTAACGTGATTCACTGTATATCTCACAGCTGTGTGAGCCCCCATCTTTGGGAGTTGTCTCCTAAAACCCAATACTAAACCTTAATATTTTTACATGAATTAGATGATACATCACATGGAGAGCAATGTTGGGGGCTACCCAGCCTCCGGGTTCACTGTGTTGGATGCCAGCACTCTGATTTTCCTTTCAGAACCCACCTCTTATCACCTTGTCATGCAGTATTGGTAGAATTGCCTATCAAGATTCCCCATCCTATCATGCCAGGGGATGGGATTATGACCCAATCTGGGACACTCAGACTGTCCTTGGAATTTGCATTCTGATTCAAGTAACTCAAAGACACAGGATGATCACAATTAATGCATCCCTATTATGGTGACATGAATAAAAAGTTCCATAACCTCTGCAATGCCAAATCCCACAGCTGCCCTGGCTCCAGTCATTTATTTTATTCTTTTAGCTGTGCAGCAAATCAAGACTTCCATAGCCCTTACCAAATGTAGGTAGCATTTGAAATGCCTTGCAGATGCTAACTCATTTAATTCCTTCTTCCTATATTCCTTTTTAAGGCCTGCCTTCAATTTTTGAACTAAACTTTCTCCTCCCAGTAACCCCCATGTAAACTTTTTCCGATACATTTTCCAGAGCAGGTCTCTATTGCTGGCACCCAAAGGATCTTGTTTCAAGCTTAAATAAACAAACTAGCACACAGAAATTGATTAATGAACGTTGATACCACTTTCCTTATTCCTATAAACAACCATGAAACATAGACACAAAGAATAGAAAGAAAATGACATAGCAGAATAGGAGAATCATAGATTTTTAGAGCTGGCAGAGGATTGAAATACCACCTAAGCCCACTCCACATTTTGCATCGAGGTCCAGGTGAGGGAAGTGAGCTCACCATGGTCACTATTCTACTCCAGTGGGCACAGTGGACCTGCATGACGTGTGGAGTGTAGAGGAGAATTTTAGCTGGTGATTCATTAACTGGATTAGGTTTGAACTAGTTTGGTTAATTCTGCTTAAGTGGGGTTTTGGGTTGCTCTATAGGGTTGGGGGAAGGAAGCTGCCTTAATTAAATAAATTAATTAAATGAAATTTTCCCTTGAATTTACACATTATAGTGGAAGGGGGTTGGAGTAAGTCTGGGTCATGGTTCCGGCTCTGGAACTGACGATGAGTTGATTTTAGGTAACTCACTTCATCTCCTTGAACTTCAGTGCCTTCACCTGTGGAATGAGACCGTTTGGTGTGATCATCTCCAAGGACTCAACTTCTAATCTCTAATATTATGATTTTATGATTTTTATTTCAAGAAATAGCAAGTACATTAGAAAAGTAAACGTCAATGTGATTTACTGTGAATCTGGCAACTTATATAGCATCTTGCATTTCACAAATCCCTCCGACATAAATTATATTATTAGATCCTTATGACCCTTGTGAGTATTACCCTTTCCCTTTTAAAGGGACGTGGAGTGAATTTAATAAGAGCCCCCCTGGTGCTGAGTACTGGGCCACCCAATCAATTCAGGGTTTGAGTCAAACATACCGTGGCTTCCATCTCAGCTCCACAGTTAACAGCTTTGCTATTACTTTCCCTTTGAGAGTTGCAATAAACAGGATAATCACATACACATCAAAGAGCTGTTGAGAGGACACCTAAGAAACATGAGCCCTTCTAGCACAGAAACTGGCTAAGTTATTCACTTTGTCTATAAATATTTACTATTCTAGTCCCTAAACAATTGAACAAGGTGATTGTAGTATATTAAATAATAGAGCTTTGTAAGTTTTCCTGGCTTGTTTGTTTTCTTTTAAATACATAGTATCAAGAAAAAAGAGATAAGGAAGTCTGGGGAAGAAGAGTGTGGAAAGGCATATGGGAGTGTAGGCAAAGTGTGTGGATCCCTGTCTTTCACATTGATGCTCACTGGAGCACATGCCACAGAAGAAGAGGAGGCATTGAAACACCTAGTGGGATGGAGATATTGGCCACCTTTGCCCTTAGCAACCCCAGTACTCATGTCGGGGGCCATAAACAGAGTAGCCATGATATCAGGAATGAACACTATGCATGGATCCACCAGCATGGGTGTCCTCTGCTATGGCTGATCTAGCTAGCTGCTGGTAAATTCTTGATCAGATTAGTGCTGAGCCCAAGATACGGTACAATTACTACAAGATCCCAATGAGCCACTTGGTAGCAAGCTGACTATATTGGTCTTAAAGACCACTGCAAAAAAGTTTTATTTTACAGTGAGTGAGATAAAAAGCCTTTGGAAGGTTTGAACAGAGAAGTGTAATCATCTGACACTGTTTTACAAGAATGACTTGTTGATTTGTTGAATATAGATTATAGGGAATAAATTTGAATAAAGGAAGACAATAAAGAGGCTACTGAAATAATTTTGTTATAGATTTGCACTAGGATACTAGTAGTGGAAATAGCAAGAAATGCTTCTCTTCTGGGTTTATTTTTAAGGTAAAGAGGATTTTTTAATGGATTCGTCTGTGGTTTGAGAGTAAGAGATAAATTCAGGATGATCTGATATTTTTTGGTTTGATGTCATAGAAGAATGGAATTTCCATCAACTCAGGTAGGAATCTAAAGAAGAGGAAGCTTTGGGAGATAAATATAGCAGTTCAATTTGAGCATATTAAGTGTGTGATGCCTGCTAGATATTATTGAAGACGGTGAGTGGTCAATTGGATATATAGCCTGGAGTTCAGGGCAAGTTCTAAACTGAGGATATAATCTTGGAGGACAGCAGCACATAAAAGGTATTGAAATCCGTGATATTGATGATGTTATTGAGAGTGATAATATAATTTTTAAAATACAAACAGACAAGACCAAACCCTGGGACTTGTGGTACTACAATATTTTAAGGCTTTGAACTAAAAGGAAACTAAGAAAGGAAAAATAGAAAGAGTAGCTAGTGAGGTAGAAGGTAAGCTGTGTGAGTTTGATATTGGGGAAGCCAAAGACAGCAAGTTAAAATCTATCAGACACTGTGGACAGGTCAAGTAGCATGAGGTCTGAACCATTAAACACTGTGTTGAGCAAAGTGACACTTTTTGTATTGACAAGAGAAGGTTGGTAGAGAGAGGGCAAAAGCCTGATCAGAGTGAGTTTAAGAAAGAACGAGAGAAGACAGAATCTTGATATAAAGAGGAGTACAGATGTAGAGTTAGCAAAGGTTGATATGGAGGTGAGAGTTGTTGCTTTAAGATAGGAGAGATTACAGCATGCTTTTAGGCAACAGAAATGATTTATTAGGAACAGAAAAAACATAGTAATGAGACATAGAAGATAATTGCTTGAGCAATGCCCTTGAGTAGAGGAGACAGTGAAAATTTTTCTGTTTCTTTTTTTTTTCATGTGTAAAATCAGACAACAGTGACTCTGTGACATATTCAATTTTCCAAGTTGGCCACAACAATTTCCCCTATCCGACAAGATTTTCTGCAAAGTGATGTTGTAGCAATCCACCATGAGATGAAGCCCGTCATTGTGGGTTCTGTGTCTGCTTTGACCAACAATATTCAGTAGAGGTGACACTGTGCAAGTTGCAAGCATAGCCCTTAGCTGGACTGGCAGTGTGCATGTCCTGCCTCTTGGAACACTTGCTCTTGGGAAGTTCTAGCTCAGAACCCAGACTCCATATTATGAGGAACTCAAGCTTATCTAAGCATACCATTCAACAGCCCCAGTTCAGTGGCCACAACAGCCAGCATCAACTGCCAGCAGGTAAGCGAATCATATCAAAGGTCAAGCCACCTGAGCTTTTGAAAGATTCCAGCCATTCTGTGACTAGTACAGCAAGTGGGCAAAACTCACCACAGCCCAGACTGCTCAGAGAAACATGCAAAAGACAAAAATAATGTATGACTTTAAGTCATGACATTTTGGGGTGTTTTGTTATACAATAGATGACCAGAACAGAAATTGACACGAGAGGTGAACATGGATGCTGCCGCAACAAAAAATGAAAACAGGTGGCACTGGATCTAGGACTGGGCTGAAAATCTTCAAAGAGATTACTAGTGATATCTGAAAGGACAGTGAGCAAATCATTGTAGGAGGCCAACATGATGCATGCTAATGGAAAGTTAAGGAAAAAGACTATTGCTAATGCTAACATGAAAACATAATGTACAAATAGTAATCTGATGTGTTTGGTTCAAATGATTATAGGGCATAATGGTGCCATAATTATAGGGCAAATTCTTTGCTTTAGCTATATGATAGTGTACAAACATAAAGAGGTGAGCTAAAAATGTAACTGTTGAGTTTTCCAGAAGAAGTTAGAAGAAGTAGATAGAACCCAGGACATTCTGCATTCAAAAATTAAATTGTTTCTCATAACCAGCATTTTTGTAGACAGCAAAAGGCCACAAAAGAAAGAACTGTCCACAGGTTAATCTCAAGTGTGTGGGTATAAAATTCTTTGTTAAGATTTCAGGAAAACAAATAACTAAATTTTTCACAGTCCCTCTCAACCATACAAAAAAGGTTTCTTATTAGAAGTTAAGGGTATTTTTCCATAGCACCTTGATTCTGAGTTCAAGCCAGAGAGAAGGATATCTCAGAGTTTTCTGTGTGACTTGTTTCTAATAAACTAAACCTCAGTAAGATTCATTACAAACCCATAATGTTCAAAGCTGTGTATTTAGTTAGTTGCTATTGTTACTATTGCTATATCATCGGAAACACTGTCTTCTTGAATAAAAATGGACAGAAATAGTCAAAAATGGAAAAGATCTCAGAAATGGATCTCAGACATCATATGGGCAGGGAGCAGGCTGAGGAAGCTACTTGGCAGCACACACATGCTTCTTCTTGTGGCAAATGACTAGATGACTCAGACAGGGGAGCCAAGAGCCACTGAGAACCACGGGGAGCAGAGCAGAACTGGACTCGAATCAAAACACTAACAACTGGCAAGTGCCCAAGTGGATTTCAGAATCTCTACAGACCAGCACTTATTATGAACCTCCAATTGATGTAATTCTTCCCCCTATTTTATGTTTGACGTGTGTAGAGTGGATGATTTGTATCGTTAGTTCACAGTTCCTCAGATTGAGATAAATGGTACTCAATATGCCGATTCAAAGAATCACCCCTAGGAGGATCACTACATCTGGATCTGATTTAGCTGATGAGACCCTGCACTTTGAGCAGATGCTGTAATGGGATTAGTTGAGATCCTGGATTCCTTCGGGGACTGGTAATCACAATTTATATGTGGGAGATGCATGAATTGTTGTAGAAGATCGTATTTTCTAACTATGTCCCCAGTAATATGACCCATGCCGCATACTTCTCTACTACATGGCTTTGCCAGCCCCCTGCAAGTTTCCACTCTGTTGAATCTGCCCTATGAGTGCTTTGGCTAATAGAATTCTGTGGAAATGACACTTTGCTTGTTTTAGTTACCGCCTTTAATTGGCCCAGGAGCTTCTACTTTCTTCCATATAGAATATTCACTTTTGGGATGTAGTTTCTCCAGACCCAGACATCATGCTGTAAGTAGTCCAAGCCACTCAGAGTCCATGCAAAGGCGATCTGATGGCTCCATCTGGGCTCCACAATAACCAACATCAATCACCACTCATGTGAATGAGCCTTCTTGGACATCAACAGAGTTTAACCCTTGAATTGTTAAGGCTTGACAAGTTAAGCCTTAGCTCTTTCTGCAGCTCCTATCTAGCTGCAACCACATGACAGAGTCCAAGTGAGAAGCTGGTCCCAGTCAACTCATGAAACTGTGAGAAAAAAATAATAAATTGTTGTTTACACCAGAAAGTTTTGGGGCAGTTTGTCACACAGCGATAGATAACTGAATAGCCTCCCCCACTCCATCACAGTGATGGTTAATGAGCTAAAAGGATGCAAAATGCCTAGTGCAATTTGACACAAAGGAGGCAATGAATAAATGCTCATTCTTTTCATTTTGAGTTCAGATAAAGTTGAAATAAAACTGAGTACGATATTGGAAGAACCTGAAATCATTCACATCTCTCTCTTAGTATGTGGCTGCTGCTTTTGACCAAGTGAAAAATCTCCCATTCTAGAGATAAAACCAGAAATCAGAATATACTTCTCTGGCTTGCCTTCATCGTGTAATGTCACATGATTCTGTGACTCGCCTGTGGGATCACCATCGCCTGTGAGATGCTCCTTCATGAGGTTTTCGGATAGCATGCTCTTAGAGGCTCTTTCAGGATACCTGGCAAATGTCATATTCAAGGGCAAAAGAAACACCGAAACAAAAATAAATGTACTTTATAACACAAAAGAAACTTTTGGTCTTGTGATATATTGAAATCAATTTAGAAGTTTGGGTTAAGTTTTCATGTTTTTGTTATAAGTAGGGTTCATTTGTAGAAAGTAAAGGTTTACTTAACCCTGTGTGATAATTCAACAGGAATTTCAAATGGGACCTTATCTCTCCATGTGGATAGTTCCATCTGGTCATCAATGTAGCAGCAGCACATTTTCAAGATGACAACATTCAACGTCTGATCCGTTTAACATCCATAAAACCAGAATAGCAAAATTCAAGTACCGAAAAACAATATTCCAAAGAATAAGATTCCCTATTTTTTTGGTCAAGTACTTTTTTGGTCAAGCTCGGAAAAAGATACCCTCATTGTTGATACATCTACATGCTAAAGCTTAAGCTTATTTCCACCAGGTTCTACATATGAGAGACTCCTCAACCCTCCCCCTACCGAAACCCCCACTTTCCCTGTCATGATGTCTGGAGCTACTACACTACTTAAACCTGGGAGTGAAAAGACAGACGGTTCCTGTTTAGTATAAGTGAGTGCCCTTGGAGATTGAACACAGATGTGGGAGTGTTGGCACGCTCCCTAGCAGGCTGAGCCACAGGGGGGCAGCAGAGGGCTATGTTCTGAGCCAGGGCAGCCTGTGGGTGCCAGTCCCTGCATCCCCATCCTCTCCTGCCTGAGCCCCTCCGGAAGTCTGGCTGGAGTAATTAGTGACCTGATCCAGTCCGAAAGCCTGGAATTTGTTGCTCCTATCTCCAGTTAGCCCATTTTCTAAGAGGGTTATCCAGTTTTACTCGTTTGTTTATTCGTTCATTCTTTCATTCATTCATTCTTCATGTCCTTGCCTTCTGTATTCTGGGCACAATTCCAGGCACTGAGTCTATGCAAACATATTTGACTGAGCCCTCTTATTGAGTCCCAGCCAGCCTAGTGTTGGAGGCAGAGTGACTTAGGAGAAAGGGCACAGGCAGAGGGCAAAGACTACCTGGGTCCAGCCTTGCCTTACTATGCCCTTACTTAGCCACAGGACCTTGAGCAAATTACCCCTAGATTCTTGAAGATCCTGGACACTTCCTGGTTCCTCACACCTCCCTGCCATCCCAGGGAAAACATCTCACCTGTGTTTACTCTGATCCACAGCAGTAACAATGTCCACTATTAAGTTTCTGACGACTTCATGAGGTAAGGGTGTTAGAATGCTTACTGCACCCCTTAACTCAGGGTAGGAGCTCAAGTCATGCCTTGAATCAGCTGGCATTTATTAAGTATCTTCTATGTGCCTGACAGGCCCTGGTACGGCAGCGGTGACCAAGACAGAGGACCTGCCCTGATGGTAATTATATTCCAGAATGAAAGCGGAACAATGAGCAAGTACAAGAAAGTATGTGATTTGTCAGATGGTGATATGTGCTATGGAGACAGAGTAAAGCCGAGTCAGGCAGAAGGGGAGGAAAATCATTACTGTTATTATTACAATGGTAATTATAATTTTAGAAAGTTATCTACATAGTCGATTGTAATCAATGCAATGGCTATAGCAATAGATGTGGACTTCCTGTTAACCCTAAAGTCGCTGAATAGATGTGGAATTCTCCCCAAACCAGAGGACACTGTGCAGATGGGTGGGTGATGTAGACAGAGAACTTGAACTTGACCTTGAAACAGTGAGTAGGAATTAGCTACGCAGGAAATAAAGTGGTCTTGGCGGTGTGGAGTCTGTGCAGAGAAGACAGCAGCTGGATGGCAGGAAGGAGTGGGGAAGTTCATGTGTCCATGTAGCCGTGAGCAGTGGCTGTGTTCAGATGAGGAGTGGACGTAGCCCGCTCCGGGAGAAGCAGCAGTTGGTCTCACTATCATTGGGCTCCCAGTACCAATAGGCACTGTGCTGGGTGATTTATGTGCATTAATTCATTGAAGGGCCATCCTGGCCTCAGGAAGTAGGTATTGTTATCCTTATTTTCAGGCAGGTTGACCTTTAGCCAATACATAATAAATGTAAGAATTAGCATACACAATGTCTCCTTAATAAGAAAATACATTTGTGCTATTGAGTATGTTTACAGGTTCGCCCAGGCTATCCAAAGCAACTCCGGTGCCCAGCTAATGGTCCCCCAAGTAGTCTTATGGATATTCCTAGATGTTATATTAAGGGCTGGCTACAATCCTGCATTGGTGGCCTTAGATCAGGCCATGGCACATTTTTAGTAACTCCCATCCAGGCCCGCTTGGTGCCATGCAGACTCCTCTGTGATGTCCCTCTCACTCCCATCTTGTACCTGATCATCAAAGAAGCCTCTGATGCCCTGACTGCAACGAGAATTTTAAGCAAGTAGCACGATTGGTCTTCTTGAACAGGAGATGAGGAGGATAATTTCGTGGGAGCAACAAGAAGACAGACCATGGGACAAGAGGTGAGTGGAAGAGAGTATTTTGTAGCTGGGTTTGGAAACAGGAAATCATATAGGAGAAGTTGCATTGATCTATTGATTTTTGATCCATTTGTTTACTTCTTCATTTGTGTACTCATCTGTGAAACGTTTGTTGTAGGCCCCAGGGACACTGGGTCAAAGGGGCTCATTTTCTGTCAAGAGCTCAGAGTCTACCAGAGGAGATTGATGGGTAAACAGACAGTGATGATGTCTGCTTGATAACGTTTTTGCAAAATTTAACATTTCTGCAAAATTTAATTAAGTAAGCTTGGTAAATTTATTTAACATCTTTGTGTCTCAGTTTGCATAGCTGCAAAATGGGGGTAAATAAGACTTGGTATCTCAAAAGTCTATTATGAATCTTAAGCAAGATGACACAAACGAAGCACAGGGCTGCGTTGTGATATAGCAAGTGCTGAGGGAACGTTACCTGCAATAACTATTCCTATTAATATTATTTATTGACACATGCATACATATGGCAAAGTATAGAATAATTGAAGAAATTGAATACAGTGGCTTCACAATAACCATTTTCTCTAAGGATGGTGGAAGGAAAATAGACTTGGAGAAGGGCACAAAGAAAAATTTGCCTGTATTACTTTTTTATTTAATGAAAAATTCTGAAGCAAACAAGACAGAATATTAACATCTGTTAATTTGACTTGATGGGCACAAGGTTGTTTATTATATTATTATACCTTTACTTTTTTGTATGTTTAACTTTTTTCAAAGTTAAAAAAACTCACAATGAGGATGGGATGTTGTAAATTGGGTGACATGTAACTATGTCAGCCCAGATTAAAGTGGGATTTGGAGTTCTGGAGTTGGATCAGGCAGGCAAGTGCCATAGGAGGCCTCCTAGGTATGTCCAGAAATAGAGAATAGAGAAAAGGAAAGGACAGCACAGTTTTGAACACTTACTCCATTCCAAGCACTGTGCTAGATTCTTTTTTGTTTGAACTTACTTCAGTGGGAAATGTAACAACCACATAGGAAAGTGCATAGTGTAGGGGAGCAGAATTTGCCACCCCAAAATGTGTCTGTCTGGCTTGATTATTTGGGGGATGATTTTTTTTTTTTTTTGGAAGGAGGTTAGCCCTGAACTAACATCTGCTGCCAATCTTCCTCTTTTTGCTGAGGAAGACTGGCCCTGAGGTGACATCTGTGCTCATCTTCCTCTATTTTATATATGGGACACCTGCCACAGCATAGTTTGATAAGCAGTGCATGGATACATGCCTGGGATCTGAACCGGTGAACCCTGGGCTGCTGAAGCAGAGCCCACAAACTTAACTACCACTATGCCACCAGGCCGGCCCCTGGGATGATTATTTTTATGAACAAAGACTCAGGAAGAAACTTTGATTTTACCCCTAACTGCATAAAAGAATTTAAACTAGAAGGCCTGTTCTGGGAAGGAACTGTCACCATAGATAACTATAGTACAATACGATCTAGGTGTGGTAAACAGGGAGGAAGCTAGCAAGGCCTATTTGATCAAAGTCCTCTCCATGTCCCATTGTCTCTGCAAGGCATAGCAAACATTTGTTTAAAACACATTTGCTTTTCCATCTCCATGTGAATTGCCTTCCTTCCCTTTGAAGTCCCAAACCACTTCCCTCAACATCCTCTTTTGTCTTTTGCTCAAGATGATATTTAAGGTGACAGCTTTGGTCATTTTGAAGAGTTACTCAGTTTTCCTGGGTCTTTCCCATGGATACATGTTATTAAACTTTGCTTGATTTTCTCCTGTTATTCTGTCTCATGTCAATTTAATTCTTAGACCAGGCAGAAGGACCTAGAAGAGGAGAAAATTTATTCCTCCCCGACAGTAGCATGCATGTGTACCTAACCAGCTCTTGTACAGTAAACCGCATAGTAAACTAGTGGTTCTCAACTGGTGAAATTTTTGCACCTTATGGGACATTTGCCAAAGTCTAGAGATATTTTTCGTTGTCACAGCTGGGGGAGAGCATACTACTGGCATCTAGTGGGCAGAGACCAGGGATCCTACTCCTTACCCTACAATGCACAGGATAGCCCCATAACAGAGAATTATCCAGCTCAAAAGGTGCTGAGGATGAGAAACCCTGATGTAACCACCACTCCATCAAGAAACAACCATAACGTGTCCTTCCCACCCTCCTGACCTGTGCCCACCCTGAGTTTTATGGTAAGCACACTCCTCCTCTTCTTCAATGTTTTCCCACGTGAGTACATATCGGTAGATGTCTGAATTTAACCCAGACTCTCTCACTAACATGCTGCACCATCCTGGATGAGTTCCTTCAGCTCTGTGCCTCATTTGCTGCATCTGTAAAGCAGGAATCCTAATAGTACTCACTCCACAGACTGCTCTATCACATGAGTCTGTGTAAGTATAGCAGTTAGAACAGCGTCAGGCACACAGGGGGCTGCCTGTGTGTTCATTATGATGATGATATCAGGGTGTTTATATCAACAACAGAAGACTGTGAGACTCTCTGGGCAGCTAGTTAAGGTTATAACTGAAGCACCGAGACTGCATTTCTGCAGGCTCAGCACTCTGAGTGGACACTTGCACAG